GGCTGTCAAACTGAAACAAAAATGTATCATGACAGGGCAATTTGTGTACTATTAATAACTCATTGAGTCACAAACGATCGCCTTTTCCTCCAAAAGCCACGTCAATTTTTGCTTTCTTTTCTTTAGTTTATTAATCCTCTTCTAATGGATGCAGTCAAACCAATTGAATTTAGAAAAGATATTGTTACACGTATACTCGTATACATGTAACAACACAAAGAAGGCACACATCCACGTGCGCGTGCACACACACACACACACACACCCACGCTCACACGCAGAGAGAGAGAGAGAGAGAGAGAGAGAGAGAGAGAGAGAGAGACAGAGACAGAGACAGAGACAGAAAAAGAGAGAGAGAGAGAGAGATTACAGCTAAAATCCCTTCTTTTGACCAATTTTATACAGTGGTCGCCATCTCTGTTCAGGTGAGTGAAGTAGTAAAATGGAAACATTTTTACTTTCAATTGAGTACTCAAAGTGAGTTTTTCCTGCAGCACTGCTAAACTAAACAACTTTTAACATAATGGAAAAACATTAGGCAACTGTTAATCGAACATGGACATTTTCCTGTTATTTCTGGGACAGCCCTCTCAACTGCAAAAGAAGCGTGTTCACAGTCATAATTAACGATAGAGCATCAGATTTTCCTCAACATGACATTTGCTTCACAATTTATATATATATATACACATCACTTCAATTTGCTACCACCTTTATCTACAAAAAGACCTTTAAAATTTATAAAAGTGCTCTATCAGAGATTTTCACTCTATCTATGATCATAAAAGCAAACTTTGAGACATAATGAAGTAACACTGCTGCTTAGCCTAAGGAAAAGATTACTGTATATTTCTTACGATAAACATCATCCCTACCAACATTACATATATATACAATTAAAGGCTGGTAATTATCAGCGTGTGATAAGAAAAACTTTAGCAGTAAAATTGAACAGTGGACAACACAAATCCTAAACAAGACTCATCATTCCATGTTCATGCAAACTGTAGTAAAAACACAAATTTTGTTTTTAAAAAGTAGTAAAAAAAATAATAAAAAAGAGATTTAGATCTACTTTAGCCTTGTCACAACACCATAATGACGATATAATAAGAGTGCTAAATATAAACGGCAAATACAAAGCCGAGGGCAACATGCCTAACCAGATTCTGAACCAAAAACCAAACACAAGAGACACCTCCACAAATTCTCTGCCTCTGACGCTAAAAAGCACAAAACAAAATCCATGAATACCACCAAAACAAAACATGAAGCAGCAGCGGTAACATTATGTGCCACAACCAAAAAAAAAGAAAATGGCCGTAAAACTCGGGCATGGTTGAAGCAGTGGTATTTTAGTGGAAGAGAGGAATGTGTGTGTGGTGGTGGGGGGAGGAGAGCTCCTAAATGAGGAGAAGATACTGTTAACTTTGTGAACCTACTTTCGGGGGGGGGGGGGGGGGGGGGG